TGTGCCCTAGACTGGGACAAGCGCCAATGCGGGTGGTGCGGGAGGGTCAGAAAGGGATGCCTTTCTGCTTGGGGGGTGAAACTCCTGCGGGGCAGGGGCTACATTTCATCACTCAGGGTCAGTTTCAGGCGTGCATTTCCCCTGCCTCCGCAGCAGCCGAAAGTTGCTGCAAGACCAAGACAGCTACGTGCCTCCGAAAGGCAAGTGCCAGCTCACTTTTGAGGATACCAGGAAGCGGCCCGGCTAACGTGGCAGAAGTTCTCAAAGGGCTTTCTGGGTGGCATCGGAGTTTAGTGGGTTCCAGGCTTGGGGTTCTCTTCAGCCGAGTTCTCCACGGAGTTCTCCGGTCCTGGTTTTAGAGTTGTTGGTTGTCACGCCCTTTGCCAAGAGGTTCTAACCTCCATGGAAGGTGCGTAGGGCTTGCCCCCACCCCTCTGCCCAAGGCCATGTTTGCGACTGTTTGGCTGGCGTTGATTTGCTGGTAATGGAGTATTTGTCCCTAGTAGTTTTGAAGGGGTTGGTTACTGCTTCTTGTGCCTTGGTTGTATTCTGTGCCCTGGGGTAATGAACGTCAGAACCCCTTAAGGTTTCTCTTGAATTCTTGGGGCATCCCGTCGGCTCTGGTCTGGAGTCAAACTGAACATCGACCCAGCGCAACTAAGGTGGTCGAAATACCATCAAGGCGTGGACAACTGGTATGCAGGCCAGGACAAAATGCAAAGCATCATGCGGATGGTGATTTCCAACACTGGCATGAACTTTGCTGGCTATCCTTCACTGACCACTGCTGACTTGGTGATACACTTTCGAGCCTATTTTAGAGGCAAGACGCCTGCCACCCGGCTTCCGTGGCGACTTGCGCAGCAGCCCTTTGCTTTTTTCGAGATGGCGGTGAAACTGCACAGAAGCAAAGAGCCATCTGGAAAGATTTGGATCGTTACTTGGCCATGAAATCCCAGCGGCGGCCCATCTCTGTTTCAGAGGGCCCCCTTTCAATCCTGTCAAACCAAGGGTGCGCGATTTTCTTGGTTTCCCCGTTCGATTTAACCCAAGCGTTTGGACAGCGGGGAAACCCACAATCTACAAACTTGCACCAATCAAGCACCAACCTCAGTTCTCATCTTGGAGGTCGCTGGCGGTGGTCAATCCTCCGGTTTAGGTTTAAATGGGATACGAACTTAGATATGCAAGGGGCATTGCGAATTTTCGGAGGTCCCTATGAACCCATTGCAAAAAGCAACATCCAGCGGTTTGCTTTCAGAGGTGTTTTTCCTTGGTGCCCTCGTCCTTGCCGAGAAGGACTTGCTTGCTCTTGCCGTGGCAAGAGTTCACAGGAAAGGCCGCGCTCGTAACGCCCGGCTAACATGGCTGAAGCACAGGAGGGCTACCGAAGCCCCCTGCTTTTGACCTCGCAGATGTGCTTTCAACAAAGAGTTTGCCGGCTGAAGCCCTGCATTGGTTGGCACACACCTGCTCTTTCGTCGCGATGCTTCCTTTTTACATGAGTTTTGGGCTCGCTTTTCCGAATCGCTCTATCACCGAGCCTTTCTAGGTCATGTTTCGCTTGGTTATGCTCGCTCCTGTCCCCGCAAGAGTTCCTCTACGCGCTCTGCGGCTGACAACAAAACAATATAAAGTGAGTTTATGTGTTTCTTTTTTTTTTAACGGGGGCAATATGTGCAATCCGTTGAAGGAACCCAAAGACAAACCCAGGTTTGCAAGAGCAATTTGCGACCGCACCCCACGGTTCAGCGGCTGGTGACCGAGTTGGGCGCCACGGTGGTGACTGCGGGTGATGGCTACAACACTACTCATGCGGCTTCTTGGTTGGTTTGACAGGGGTCCCTATGTTCTCTTTTTTGATGGTTTGAACATCACCTTTCGGGGCCCTTTGAAGTAACTTTCCTTCTGGTGATGTTTTTAGGTGACTTGAAATGGTGGACAACTGGGACTTGGGTCACCAAAATGTTGTAGACAGAATATGACATGTTGGTTGTTTCTTGTCAGACCCCTGTTTGGAACCCAACATGTTTTTAGCATTTGAGCCCTCATTTGACTCTTTTGGTTGGTCTTGTTGTTCACTTGAGCTTGGTTAACCTTGCAACAACTGGGTGGATCTGGTTTTTGCGGCTTGCTGTGTTCAACCCTGTGGTCTCCCCAGAATCGTTGCATTTTGACTAAGTATGAAGCAAAGTCATACGGGTCAAGGGGGACCTTTAGTAATTTCCCGTTGGTTTCCCTTTCAGCCAGCCAGAAAAGGGTACCGCTGCCAATGTGAACGCCAGGACTGGTGGGCGGATTTCCTGTGGGTGGCATCAGCCAAGCACATTTGCATCGCGACCAGCACCTTTGGATTCCCTGCCAGGCTTCACTAACCATATTGTAAGTTTGCAGTTGTTCCTTGTTGCTTTTGCGTCAAGTTGGCGTTTTGCAGACGGTCTGACAGTCGCCAAGGATTCTGGGCAGCATTCTTGAGCTTTGCAGAAACCGTCCACTTCCCGAGCCTTGGCTAACGGATCCGCATTTCCTGTGGGTGTGTTGATTGTTTGTTTGTTTGTTTGTTTGTTTGTTTGGTTGGTTGGTTGGTTGGTTGGTTGGTTGGTTGGTTGTTTGTTTGTTTGTTTGTTTGTTTGTGTTTGGTTTTGTTTGGTTTTGTTTGGTTTTGTTTGGTTTGGTTTTGTTTGGTTTGGTTTGGTTTGATTGTTTGTTTGTTTGCTAAAGTGCAGGCACTTTCCTCCATCATGTCTGATGCATGGCATACATGTACTTGCGATCTTTGGTTGGCTCAAGCCTGCCCGTGTGAAAAGAGCTGCGCACTTTCAGAGTCACTTTAGGGTGATCTGTTAGTTACTGCACTTTGGTACCTAAGATGTTTCATGGTAGCGGAGCTCTGGCACTTTCCAGAGCTACTTTGACAAGATGAATGTAGGAGCACTTGGGAGTGCTGATGCTGCATTTGAAGGACAACTTAGGTTGCCAACGCCCTCCACTTTTTCTGGAGCGCCAGCAGATTGGGAGGAATGGAGTTGGAACTTCAAGCCATACATTTCCATGTTCGAGACTTGCGCACTGCAAGGACTTGATGGAGCTGAGACCAGAGAGACGCCAATCACTGATGAAGACTTAGTGGCGACTTTGGATACTGGAGACCGTGACGAAGAAAATGCCACAAAGACTTCGGCCTTTAGCCGCAAACTGCACTACTTGCAATGTTGCTAGCAATGGCTTCGAGGCCTGGAGGAGACTTTTTAGGAAGTTTGCACTCCCGAATGCCACCAGGCACGTGTCACTTCTGACACAGTCGCTTGACTTTAAATTCAATCCTGCAACTATTGAACATGAGTTTAAAACTTAGGAGACAATTAAGGTCAAGTACGAGCGACAGACTGGGACCGAACTTCCCGGTAGCGTTTTACTGGCGACTTTGCTGACTAAGACGACTGGTGCTTTGCAGCAGCACTTGTGACAAAATGCAAGGTCTCTCACCACTTACACGCAGATTAGGGACGTCGTAGTAGAGTACTTTCGTTCGCGACACATCCTCACTTCAAGCAGCAACAATGGCCCTGCACCAACGGACATAGGAGCACGTTGGAAGAAAGGCAAAGGCAAAGGCACCGGCACTTCAATGGGACTTTCAGGCAAAAGCAAAATGCAAGGCAGGCAAAGGAAAGGACTTTGGGAAGAACAAAGGAAAAGGAAAAGGCAAAGGTAAGAACTTAGGTTCCCAACTTTGCTGGACTTGTGGTAGGCCAGGTCACTTGTCTAACACTTGTCTCCCCACTTGTTTCCATTTGTCTCCCACTTGTTCTCTCACCCGCTTGCTGGGGTGGATGCTTTCACGAGATGGTCTGGCTCGGTCAGCCCTTTGTCTCCCCAGTTGTTTCCTCACTCGCTTGCTGGGCTGGATGCTGTCACGAGATGGTCTGGCTCGATCAGCCCTTTGTCTCCCCACTTGTTTCCTTTTGTCTCCTCACTTGTTTCCTCACGCGCTTGCTGGGCTGGATGCTGTCACGAGGTAGTCTGGCTCGGTCAGCTCTTTGTCTCCCGCTTGTTTCCTTTTGCCTCCCCACTTGTTTCCTCACGCGCTTGCTGGGCTGGATGCTGTCACGAGATGGTCTGGCTCGGTCAGCCCTTTGTCTCCCCAGTTGTTTCCTCACTCGCTTGCTGGGCTGGATGCTGTCACGAGATGGTCTGGCTCGATCAGCCCGTTGTCTCCCCACTTGTTTCCTTTTGTCTCCTCACTTGTTTCCTCACGCGCTTGCTGGGCTGGATGCTGTCACGAGGTAGTCTGGCTCGGTCAGCTCTTTGTCTCCCGCTTGTTTCATTTTGCCTCCCCACTTGTTTCCTCACGCGCTTGCTGGGCTGGATGCTGTCACGAGATGGTCTGGCTCGGTCAGCCCTTTGTCCCCCCACTTGCTCGCATTTGTCTCCCCACTTGTTTTCTCACTCGCTTGCTGGGCTGGATGCTGTCTCGAGATGGTCTGGCTCGGTCAGCTCTTTGTCTCCCCACTTGTTTTCTCACTTGCTTGCTGGGCTCCCCCTTGTTTTCCTTTTGCTTCCCCACTTGCTTTCTCACTCGCTTGCTGGTCTGGATGCTGTCACGAGATGGTCTGGCTCGGTCAGCTCTTTGTCTCCCCACTTGTTTCCTCACTCGCTTGCTGGGCTGGATGCAGTCACGAGATGGTCTGGCTCGGTCAGCTGTTTGTCTCACCACTTGTTTCCATTTGTCTCCTCACTTGTTTTCTCACTGGCTTGCTGGGCTGGATGCTGTCACGAGATGGTTTGGCTCGATCAGCCCTTTGTCTCCCGACTGGTTTCCTTTTGTCTGCTCACTTGTTTCCTCACGCGCTTGCTGGGCTGGATGCTGTCACGAGGTGGTCTGGCTCGGTCAGCTCTTTGTCTCCCGCTTGTTTCCTTTTGCCTCCCCACTTGTTTCCGCACGCGCTTGCTGGGCTGGATGCTGTCACGAGATGGTCTGGCTCGGTCAGCCCTTTGTCTCCCCACTTGTTCGCATTTGTCTCCCCACTTGTTTTCTCACTCGCTTGCTGGGCTGGATGCTGTCTCGAGATGGTCTGGCTCGGTCAGCCCTTTGTCTCCCCACTGGTTTCCGTTTGTCTCCTCCCTTGTTTCCTCACGCGCTTGCTGGGCTGGATGCTGTCACGAGGTGGTCTGCTCTTTGTCTCCCCCTTGTTTTCCTTTTGCCTCCCCACTTGCTTTCTCACTCGCTTGCTGGTCTGGATGCTGTCACGAGATGGTCTGGCTCGGTCAGCTCTTTGTCTCCCCACTTGTTTTCTGACGCGCTTGCTGGGCTGGATGCAGTCACGAGATGGTCTGGCTCGTTCAGCTGTTTGTCTCACCACTTGTTTCCTTTTGTCTCCACACTTGTTTTCTCTTTTGCTTGCTGGGCCGGATGCTGTCACGAGATGGGGCTCGGTCAGCTCTTTGTCTCCTCGCTTGTTTTCTCACTTGCTTGCTGGGCTGGATGCTGTCACGAGATGGTCTGGCTCGATCAGCCCTTTGTCTCCGCACTTGTTTCCTTTGTCTCCCCGCGTGTTGTCAATGCGCTTGCTGGGCTGGATGCTGTCACGAGATGGTCTGGCTCGGTTTATCTCCCCACTTGTTTCCATTTGTCTCCCCACTTGTTGTCTCACTCGCTTGCTGGGCTGGATGCTGTCACGAGGTGGTCTGGCTCAGTCAGCCCTTTGTCTCCCCAGTTGTTTCCTCACTCGCTTGCTGTGCTGGATGCTGTCACGAGATGGTCTGGCTCGGTCAGCCCTTTGTCTCCCCACTTGTTTGCATTTGTCGGTCAGCTCTTTGTCTCCCCATTTGTTTTCTTTTTTCTTCCCACTTGCTTTCTCACTCGCTTGCTGGGCTGGATGCTGTCACGAGATGGTCTGGCTCGGTCAGCTCTTTGTCTCCCCACTTGTTTTCTCACTCGCTTGCTGGGCTGGATGCAGTCACGAGATGGTCTGGCTCGGTCAGCTCTTTGTCTCACCTGTTGTTTCCTTTTGTCTCCCCACTTGTTTTCTCACTTGCTTAGTGGGCTGGATGCTGTCACGAGATGGTCTGGCTCGGTCAGCTCTTTGTCTCCCCGCTTGTTTTCTCACTCGCTTGCTGGGCTGGATGCTGTCACGAGATGGTCTGGCTTGGTCAGCGTGGCCGCACTCGCGATTTCGTCGCACAGCGCAGCGGACGCTGTAGAGCAGCTCGCGTGACTGCCGGCTGACCTTCTCGTACTGCCCCGCCATCAGTCGAGGCCCTCTCTGCGCATCCCTGAGGTGCCTCCCGTCTTCCCACGCCTCGCACCGCCCTTTGTCTCCCGACTTGTTTCCTTTGTCTCCCCGCTTGTTGTCCATGCGCTTGCTGGGCTGGATGCTGCCACGAGATGGTCTGGCTCGGTCAGCTCTTTATCTCCCCACTTGTTTCCATTTGTCTCCCTGCTTGTTGTCTCACTCGCTTGCTGGGCTGGATGCTGCCACAAAATGGTCTGGCTCGGTCAGCCATTTGTCTCTCCAGTTGTTTCCTCACTCGCTTGCTGGGCTGGATGCTGTCACGAGATGGTCTGGCTCGGTCAGCCCTTTGTCTCCCCACTTGTTTGCATTTGTCTCCCCACTTGTTTCCTCACGCTTGCTGGGCTGGATGCTGTCACAAGGTGGTCTGGCTCGGTCAGCTCTTTGTCTTCCGCTTGTTTCCTTTTGTCTCCCCACTTGTTTCCTGACGCGCTTGCTGGGCTGGATGCTGTCACGAGGTGGTCTGGCTCGGTCAGCTCTTTGTCTCCCGCAAGTTTCCTTTTGTCTCCCCACTTGTTTCCTCACGCGCTTGCTGGGCTGGATGCTGTCACGAGATGGTCTGGCTCGGTCAGCCCTTTGTCTCCCCACTTGTTTCCTCACGCTTGCTGGGCTGGATGCTGTCACAAGGTGGTCTGGCTCGGTCAGCCCTTTGCCTCCCCACTTGTTTGCACTTGTCTCCCCACTTGTTTCCTCACGCGCTTGCTGGGCTGGATACGAGATGGTCTGGCTCGGTCAGCCCTTTGTCTCCCCACTTGTTTGCATTTGTCTCCCCACTTGTTTCCTCACGCTTGCTGGGCTGGATGCTGTCACAAGGTGGTCTGGCTCGGTCAGCTCTTTGTCTTCCGCTTGTTTCCTTTTGTCTCCCCACTTGTTTCCTGACGCGCTTGCTGGGCTGGATGCTGTCACGAGGTGGTCTGGCTCGGTCAGCTCTTTGTCTTCCGCTTGTTTCCTTTTGTCTCCCCACTTGTTTCCTGACGCGCCTGCTGGGCTGGATGCTGTCACGAGGTGGTCTGGCTAGGTCACGTCTTTGTCTCCCGCTAGTTTCCTTTTGTCTCCCCACTTGTTTCCTCACACGCTTGCTGGGCTGGATGCTGTGACAAGATGGGCTGGCTCGGTCAGCCCTTTGTCTCCCCAGTTGTTCGCAATTGTCTTCCCACTTGCTTTCTCACTCGCTTGCTGGGCTGCATGCTGTCACGAGATGGTCTGG